GCATAAACATGAGAGTCTATTGGAAAAATAACTAAAACAAAAAGGACTGAAGGGTTGTTTGAGTGTTAGAGTGCCTGCCTAGCAAGCCCAAGGCCCTGAGATCAAACCCCAGGGCTGTCCTCCCCAAATAATTAATTGTACTTTTGCGATTATTATTTATAAGCTCGTTATACTATACTATTCCTTCTAATTTATGTGTGTTCTAAAATGATGGTAATAATATCACCTACCTTATTGGGTGGTTATGACAGTTAAAAAAGATCATTCAAATAAAGTGTTGGATTAGTCCATTTTCTCAGGAGGCTGAGGCAGGAGGATCTTAAGGTGGAGAACAGCCCACACTACATAGTGAGTTCAAGGCCTACCTGATCTACATAGCAAGGCCCTGTCTCAAAAAAAAAAAAAAAAAAAAAAAAGTTGGGGATACAACTCAGTGGTCCTGAGCCTGAGTTTGATCCCCAGGACTGCAAAAAAAAAGGGGGGGGGAGGGGCAGGAGAGGAGGGGAGAAAGACCAGAAGACACACATACACCTGCGTGCTCCCTGTCCTTTGCCATGTAATGCCCAGCAACAAATCAGTAATTTGCCAGCAAGAAAGCAGTCCCCAGATGTGGCTTTCAGCCTTACACCTCTAGAACCATGGACCAAAATAAACCTCTTTTCTAGGTAACTCATCTGGTCTGTGGTATTGCCAATAACATGGTAAAAGAAAATGGACTAGTTCAGCACTTCATGTGGATTTTCTTTTTTAACCATCATAACCATCCAATGACATACATGCTATTATTATCATCATTTTACACATGATGAATGTCACCATGGCCATAGGGCCACGAGGTAGCAAGCCCACATTTGTAACCACTATACTATACTGAAATGTCTTTACCTATCCTGCTGACATCAGTACCCAGACTGAAGCTCAAGAGAACATAATTCAACAAGATATCTCAGCCCCTATTCGGTGCCTAGCATAAGACAGGTGCTCACAGCTGAGCGCCGGTGGCTCATTCCAGTAATCCTAACTGTTTGGGTGGCTGAGATCAGAAGGACAGTGGTCTGAGGCCAGCCTGGTCAAATAGTTCATGAGACCCCATCTCCAAGATAGTCAGAGCAGCTGGGCACTGGTGGCTCACGTCTGTAATCCTAGCTACTAAGGAGGCAGAGATTAGGAGGATCGCAGTTCAAAGCCAGCTCTGGCAAGTAGTTCAAGAGACCCTATCTCAAAAAATACCCAACACAAAAAAAGGGCTGGCAGAGTGACTCAGGCAGGTGGTAGTACACCTGCATAGCAAGTGTGAGGCCCTGAGTTCAAACCTCAGTACAGAAAGAAAAAAAGAAAGAAGATAACCGAGCAAAATGGACTGGAGGTGTGGCTCAAGTGACAGAACACCCGTTTTGTAAGTGTGAAGCCCTGAGTTCAAGTCACAGTCCCACAAAAAAGACAGGTGCTCAATAAAAATAGCAAATGAAGGAATACATTCAAAGTAATACTGTAAGACTTTTCTTCATACATCTCTGACCCATAACTTCTCCCTCCCCCAACTTCCTAGCATAGGATTCAGCCTCAGGATTTAGCATATCCCCCCAAAATCTCAGAACCATAAAGAACTCTGTTTCCCCCAGTTCATCAAAGGGAAATGGTCTCTCCAGGGTCTTTCTCCTGCTCTTGAAAAGGGACAATCAAGCAAGATACACAATGGAGGACACACAGGTTTCAGAAGTCCTAACAGACAAAGTTCATCCATGAGAGTGGGCAGCCCTGCTGGAGTGCAATTGAGGGAGGAAGATCGGGTGCTACACTTGCCCTATCTTGCAGAATAATAAATACCTTCTGCCCAATGTCCTATGTCATCTGGGAACTGTCCAACACATCTGAAACGTCATCATCCCAGCACATACCTAAAGATCTCACTATGGACCACAGACTTCCTTGGTCTCCCCTTCCTGCCTTTCTCCCCCTTCCTCTAGAGATGGAGAGGCAAAAATACCCAGCAACTGCAGCCTAGGGGCCAGGCTTCTGGTGTCACATTCGGAAGTAAAGAAAATCTTTCTATAGAAGACAAAAGGGATTTTTGGGCACTCCTTCCTGCTTCTGGTCATTCCAAGCCCCTGAAAGCCCTGAGCATCTCCAGTACACAAAATTCTGAGAATCCCAAACTCTATGTCAAGAAACTTCTAGGAGCCAGGTGCAAGGGCCCACGCCTATAATCCTAGCTACTCAGGAGACAGAGATCAGGATGATCGCCGTTCAAAGCCAGCCCGGGCAAATAGTTCACAAAACCCTATCTTGAAAACATCCTTCACAAAAAAAGGGCTGGTGGAGTGGCTCAAGGTGTAGACCCTATGTTCAAACCCCAGTACTGCAAAAAAAAAAAGAAAGAAAGAAATTTCTAGGAAAGACCAGTCATAGTGGCTAATACCTACACTCCCATCTACTCAGGAGACAGAGATTAGGAGGACCATGATTCAAGATCAGTGTGGGCAAAAGGTTTGAAAGACCCCATCTCAACCAGTAAGTTGGGCATGGTGGAACATACCTGTCATCCCAACTACATGGGAGGCTGTAGATAGGACAGCCTAGGGAAAAAAACTTGAAAAATAACTAAATCAAAAAGGGCTCATCCTAGCTCAAGTGGTAGAGCACCTGGCACTGTCCAGGTCCTGAATTCAAACTGCAGTACCACAAAAAACAAAGAAAAGAAACTTGTAGGAAAGCAGCACTAATAAATGGCACAGGAGTTGGAATTACATGGAAGAGACAACATCCTAGCCAAGCACTGCCACAGAGTTTCTAGGATGAAGCTGTACTGGGGTTGTACCTCAGAGGGACAAAAAGAAACAAAGAGAACAGCAGGTGAAATAATACAGAAAATATGAGCTAACATTTACTGATTGCTTACTTTGTCCTTTTTGCTTACTGTGTTCTTGCTGCTGGGTTAAGTGTTTTACACACAGTAGCTTTGTTGACATTTCACAATGACATAGATGCTGTTAATATACCAGATAACACCCAGAGGTGTTAAATACCTTGTCTAATGTAATCTAGTAACTGGCAAGGTTGGTATTCAAACCTAGATTTGCCTGACTCCAAAGTCCCATCATAATATGTGCATCAAGTGCTAGGGGATGGCTTGTGTGAAGGAAAAGTGTACATATGAAAGAGCAAGAGATCCCTGAATACCATACTAACGAGCTGGATGATGTTCCACAAGAGGTCATGTGCTGAGCTGTTCTGCAGCAAAAATGGTCTAGTGAGTTTATGAAGGATGATGGAGGGTTAGCTGGGAAGATGAAAACCCTGTTCTAGAAGTTCTAGAACAGGAGTAAGGAAAGCCCAAAGAAACACAAGCCAAATGAATGCCAGTTGATAATTAATAGTGTTCACCTTTAGATTTAACACATAAAGATCTTCCCCAAGTCCCAGTCAGTCCACAAAACACACATGAAGAGCCAGGGGCTGGTGGCTCACACGTATAAGTGAGCCTTATACTCCTAGCTACTCAGGAGGCAGAGATGAGGATTTCCGTTCGAAGCCAGACGGAGGAAAGAGTTTGCAAGACCCTATCTCGAAAAAAAAAAAAAATCACAAAAAAAGAGCTGGTGAAGAGGCTCCACAAACCCCAGTACTACACACACACACACACACACACACACACAAAAACCCTCACATTAAGTGCCAACTGGGTGTTAAGACTTGCCGAAAGTAGCCTCTGTATGTTTTTCCTCTTCCCATAGTGAGGTCAAAATCAGGTTGCTAGCAGGTTCCTACAACTCAACACCCTGAAGTGTTCTCTCCTTCCCCACCTTCACTCACAAAGGAAGTAAACAACTTTTCTTACACACTTAACGTTAAAATCAAAAGCTACAATTATTGTATGTTAACTTCAGTAATTTTTATATTTTAACAATATTTTCCCTTGATTGGCTTAGTTTGCAAGATAAATAACTGCTTGAGCTCACTTTTAATGTCAAAAGCTTTTGGGGGGGGTTGGTTTTTTTTTTTTGACAGGACTGGGATTTGAGCTCAGGGCTCCACGTGTGCAAGGCAGCCACTCTACCACTTGAGCCACACCTCCAGCCCCTCAAAAGGTTTTGATCAGAAAATTTTCTCCAGTGGGTGAATCACCTGGCTGTTTTCTGCCTTCAGTCCTAAGTACATCTGTTCATAGGTATCACTTAGGGGTCAGGGATGGAACTCAGATCCCTACCCTTCACTACCACCTGGTTGGAGGATCTGGCATTAGAGACATCTATCCCTAACTCGGCACAGTGTTGGATCTGCGCCTGAGGGTGCCATTCTTACTTTGTAGCTGTGTGGTGAGAGGAAAGGAGAACTCAGCTTCTCACTACTCTTGTGTAAGAATCTGTGTCCCAACAGGCGTCCCCTCTCATTAAGGGGGTGGAAGTTTCAGCCAAAACTGTGTATGAACCTCCAGACTTGCAGGGCCGCCCCTTGCTCTCCCAGACACTTTTTTTTTTTTAAGGAGATATTGCCTAGCCAGCGGTGCAGAGCTGGGAGAAAATACTCGCTAAACTGGCTCAGCAATTCCCCCAGGAAGGCTCACCATGCAGGTCAACACAAAGACATGATGATCCCAAAGGCCTTGAGGGAAGTGGGGGGACTTTTCCCCGCTTAGCTTCCCTAAGCGTTGCCACGAGACAGCTCCCTGGCTACATCTGGGTAAAGAGGTTTGTTGCGCATACTCCGCATGGTCCAACTACTCTGGAGACACCCCGTCCTTCCATACTACTGGACGCACACAACGTGGGAAGAGGCGCCCTAAGCAGAGGTGAATCACTACAGTCCTTAAAGCTTTGTTTCTGTCTGGGCCCGCGCCGAACCACAGCAATAAAGAGGAAGCTCCCCTTCCCTCACGACCTCCTTTAGCTCCCGGATTCCCACAGAGACTTCTCAAGCTCTTCAAGATCCCCCGCTTCCGGCTTCCCGGCCTCCATTCTGGCCTTCCAAGGCCCCTCAGCCCCCGCCCGCGCGCTGCTCACCCTCGAGCGTCTCGCACTGCACCAGGTTGAGATAGTCCGCCTGGCTGAGTACCCCCGCCTTCAGTCCGCGCACTAATCCCTCCAAGTAGCCATTGTCCACATTGAAGTAGAGCTCCGGAAAGAACGACATGGCTGCAGCGGGGACTGTGGGGACCGGAGAACCCCGACCAGCCGGCACGCAACGCAACTCCTAGATCAGCTGACGCGGCGCCCGCAACGGGCTGTCAAGTGCGTCAGGTGATGCGCACGCGCTTCACGTGATCTCCATGGGGCAGGGCTCTGAGCAGCGCCTAGCTTCCGGGTGACTTAGTGCGCAGGCGTTGCGCCGGTATTAGTGGCAGACGGCCCTCTAGCGCCTGCGCACTGAAAGGAACCAGGCCTTCCGCTCTACTTGGATGACCGAGGCTGACCGCATGATGGCGCCCGTGGCCGCTGGATTCGATGGGGGTCCCTTTAGCTTCCCTGCTTAAGTGCACCTGAGTCCGAGAGGGTAGAAGTGGGAGTGGGAGTGTTTCTTAGGGTTGGGAAGATTTCGCACTGTTGAGGCAGCCTTTTCCTACCCCTGCCCCGATAAGGGAACTGAGGCTCAGTGAGGGTCGGGCTTTGCTGGAGGTCACAATTAGCCGCAATTGTGACCTGCGGTCTGGAGGCCCTGGATTCTAATTGCTTATTCGCTAGCTGGGACCTAAGTACCTGTGCCGAGTTGGGACTCCCCACCCCCACCCCCCACCCCCCCACACACCCCGCATTTGTTGCGCCAGATTCTCAAGGGCTGAAGTGCGGCTCTCTTTCCCCCAAAGGTGTCTGTTGTCCTACAAGCGCACGTGTATGTGGGTCAGGAGTAAGGGCGTGTGTAGTTTCTTGGTTTGGCGACATCCCACCACCATCACCCCTACCACGAACCCAATCCCCCTTTAATGACCACGTTCGAAATAACCACAGCTTTGGGATTGGTCCCATCCTTTATTCGTGCTCCTCTGCCGCGCCGTGCGCAGGTTAGGTGCGGCTGCAGGGGTTCGCGGCTGTACCCAGCTTCCGACAGTAGCAGAAGGCGTTGAAGAAGCGGCAGTAGCATGTGGCGCAAGGGTCGCAGCACGGTACCTGCTGTCCCAGGCAGGACTCGTGCAGCCGTACGCAGCGGCGCGGAGAGCGAGACTCGCGGTTCTGTGGGTCTAGCACCTGCATTGGTAGGGAAGCAGGAACATGGTCACGGGGCTCCGAAGGCCCATTCAGACCCTCACCAGCCCCAATCCTGGAAGGATGGCGGTGGAGCATGGGGAGAGGTGGTCTGGAGGTTGAGTGGAGAGAGGATAGTAATGGTACTGATGCCCCCTGCCTGCCACCTTATCACTTTCCCTGAGCAGTAGTTACCTCTGCCAGAGCTTCTGCCTTTTGCAGCAGAGCAGCTCCTGTCTGATCTGCAGCTGTGCTCTTCAGCTGGGCTCGCAGGCCTAGGCCTAGGACAGAGGATGTGAGAGCAGGACCTACTATGCACAAGATACCCACCTCCCAGGGTTGGGATTGGGAAGAGGGAAAGTCTTATACCAGGCAGTGGTTTGTTGCCAGCAAATGGCCAGGCCCCACCCAGACCTACCCCTGCCCATACTGACCTGGGAACTCTGGGAACAGGGCCTGGTCAGGCTTTCTGATGCCCTCCAAGGGTGCCAAGCCCATCTGAGCACCCTGCATGGCAGGCAATGCCAGCAGCAGGGCACAGGTAAGCAGCACAGCAGTCAGCATGGCCTGGCTCAGCAGGAAAACCCACCACTTAGTCATTCCTCATCCTTGGAGTACCCTCTAGGTGCCCAGAAAGGCCCCCAGAGAGCAGGAGACCCTGACCAACCTAAGAGCTTACCTTTGCTTGCTGGTCCTTGATAGAGTTCTGGGCCAACTGTGCCCTCAGCTTATATGGCAGTGTCTAATAAAGGGCCTGCATGTGACTGCTTCCTGCAGGAAGGCATGAGGGGCCCTCCCTGGAGGGTGGGGGCACCATTCAGGCTGACTCCCTGGGGCCTGAGCCTTTGGGTGCTCTACTAGAGGGCTACCCATCTCCAATTTGGGATGAGACCTCCTGGAACCAATCAGAGTTTGGGAACAAGATAGGATATCAAAGATCCCAAAATTTCCACAGCACCAGGATTAGGAGATGGGTCAGGCTGGAGCCATTAGCAGTAACAAGGCAGGCGGCCCCGAGAGCTTAATTTAATTTCTGGCCCCGGAGATGCTCACTCAGCCCATACGTGGCATGTTGTTTCCTTTGCTTCCAGGAACTTGGGTCAAGGGCATTGAACAGAGTGATGGGCCAGTAGTCACTGTGGGGCAGGGGTAGGGTGAGAAACCAGACCTTGGGTTTCTTTGCAGGGAAAGAAGTGGAGAAAAACCCTCTTAACCAAAAACAGGCCCTCTTGACCCTGGCCCTGCTTCCTCTCCCTCTTCTCTCTCTAGGCTTCTTCAAGACCCCCACTCCTACTCCTGTCCCTACACCCTTTTCTGCCTAGGGTTACTGGAAGCCAAGGGAACAGAACATACTGTTCCCTGGGTGGGCAAGCAGCTTCAGAGTAAAAAGCTTTCAAGCCGCTTGCCTCATTAATGCTAATGGCTGCTCCCTTCCGCCCTGTGTGTTAGACCTCTGCCCACGCCTGGTCTCATCAATTCCAGGCTGCAGTGAGAACTTCCCCTCTGTGGACATGGCAGTACACACAAGGCCTCACCTGCCCCTGCTTCCCCTCATGCCTTTGGAGGAATTTTTGTCACACAGGTGCCCATCTGGGAAAGAGATGCAAGCTGAATCAGCTTGGAGGCCCCAGTGCACAAAGGTTGGCCCAAGAAGAGGCTGTCAGGGTTTGCAGCCCAGGTCTACACAGGCTATTCCACCAAGAGGATGCCTGAGGAAATACTCCCAGCGGTGGATGGAAACCATAGGTTGCCATCTGGCAACCTTTGTCTGGGGTCAAGACCAAAAATTGGAGTTTGTGTACAGCCTTAATGGAGAGGAGGCACTGTGCAGAAGGGTAGACCTATGCAAGCTTCCTCCATACAGGCACTGGTGTTGTTCTGGGATCAGGCTGGCATTGGGTCCTCCTATAGTTGGCTCAGGGTAACTCCTTAGAGCTCAGAGGGCCACTTTCTAATGCCTAAATGAGAGGGGGCATTGAAAAATCAGGGAAAGCCTCTCTGAGGAGGTACTCACTGAGTCCTTTAGACAAAGGGCCTGAGAATAGTGTTGGTAGTGTGGTGACTGTCACACAGTAGACCTGGCGTTGAGGCCATTGCCTCTAGGAGAGAAAAGTCAATGCCAGGCCTGATAGACCACTTCAGGGCTTTCTTTTCTCTAGAAAGAAAAGGCTGGATTGCAGGTCTTAGACACCCAAGTGTGCTTCCATCTTGGTTTAGTCACTTGGGGCTCAAAAAGATTAATACATCAAATATACATGAAGCACTTTCCCCCAAATTCTTGTGCCCTGGCTTCATCCCTGGAGATTCTGACTGAAAAGGTGGGGAGCAAAGAATGGCATGTGGATTGAAAAAGTGCCCCCGTGAGTTGAGGTGGAAGCTGTGGGCACCTGGCTGGGCCTGCTCAATATCCATCTGAAGGACAGCTCTTCATGTCTGGAGTGGGGCCTCCTGCCAAGATGGCAGTCAACTATCTCAACCTGGGCATTACACCTGTAATCTCAGCATTTGGGATGCCGAGGCAGGAGAATCTCAAGTTAGAGGCTAGACAGGGCTACATTGTGAGATCCTATCTCAAAAATAAAATTAAAGAAAGACTGGCTCAAGTAGTAGAGCCCTTGCCCCGTTAAGTTCAAAGTCCTGAGTTCAAACCCTAGTACCTGCAGTGGGATAAATTCTTTGATAGAGGAATGCTCCAGGGCCTGTTGGGCCTGTTTGGGTACCTACCCTAGTTGAAGGTGGGCAGAGAGTTGGCTAGGGAAGGCTTCTTGAGGGAGGAGACCTTTACTCAGTCATGAAACTTGAGTAGGAGTTGAGGAGTGCCCAGCAAGAGACAGTATAAATTCCTGAGACTCGTAATTGGCACACTGTTTACCACACATGCTGTGCCCCAAATCTAGTTCCTGCCCAAAGGCCCCAGCCTAGTAAATAGTCAATAGACTCTTTTGCCTGGAGCCAGAGATAGCTACCTCCCAAGGGTGCTCTCCAGAGTTGTTTCAATCAGTGAGTCAATCAGCAAACATCTATAGCCCCTGTCACATTGAATAACTACTGTCAGTGTGCACTCACTCAGACCATAGTCACAGGAACCCAGAATCACTCACTCTACCTATAAATTCAATTAGAGTCCAGAGGAAATAAATATTTGTTTATATTCTTTCCTACTCTGTCACTCCCTTTTTTTGTGCTACTGGAGTTTGAATTCAGAACCTATACCTTGAGCCTCTCCACCAGCCCTTTTTTGAGATAGGGTCTCATGAACTATTTGCAGGGGATGGCTTTGAAACATGAGCCACTAGCACCCAGCCCCCCCAAAAATTTTTTTTGGTAGCAGTGGGATTTGAACGCAGGGTTTCACACTTGATAGGCAGGCACTCTTACCACTTTAGCCACTCTGCCAGCCCTTCTCTAGCCCCCTTTTGCCCTCCAGTGCTGTGTCATCCAGCTTCCCTGCCCCACTGAATTTGCTCAAAACATTGCCTATGGGTTTCTTGTCATAGCTGTCTATGTATACATAGTTACATCTGTATCAATTTTTTTTGGCAGTACTGGGATTTGAACTCAGGGCCTACATTTTGAGCCACTCCACCAACCCTCTTTTGTATTGGGTGTTTTCGAGATAGGGTCTCGTGAACTATTTGCCCGGGTTGGCTTCCAACCATAATCCTCCTGATCTCTGCCTGCTGACTAGCTAGGATTACAGGCGGGTAACCAGCAACTGGCTGATTTATCAATTTTGTTTCAACTGAAAGTTTCAGCCAGGCGCAGTGGTTCATGACTATAATCCTAGTTACTCAAGAGGCAAGAATCTGGAATATCAATGTTTGAGGCCTTCCTGAACAAGAAAAAAGTTAGCACAACCATGTCTCAGGAGGTAGAGATTAAGAGGATAGCAGTTCAAAGCCAGCCTGGGCAAATTGTTTGAGAGACCCTATCTTGAAGATACCCAATGCAAAAAAGGGCTGGCAGGGCGGTTCAAGTAGCAGTGTGCCTGCCTAGCAAGTGTGAGACCCTTGTCCACTTCAGTACCAACAAAACAAAACAAAACACAAACAACAAGGATTTGGGAGACTTGGGAGCTACAGAGCCTACCAGATGAGGCTGGGGTTCTGACTCCAGAGAGGAGAAAGGGAACAGTGTAGATGCTCTGTGCCAGAGACTTTTCTTTTCCCTATTGCAGGATACATCTCACCCCCAATGGTGCTGTTCCTACTTTGTCCCCTAGGGGAGGTGGTTACACATGTACCTACACATGAACATTTTTATTAAAGGACTTATATAAGATTTGTACATTTGGGGCTGGGGATGTAGCTCAGTGGTACAGGTCTTGCTTAACACATGTGAAGCCCCGGGTTTGATTTCCAGCAACACACACACACACACACACACACACATACACACACACACACAAAGTAAAGACTTGTACATGATACTGTACACTGTACCTCAACGAAGCACATTTTTTTCTCTTTTTCCTTTATTAGAAGCTCATAAAATAGAATCTGTTCTAACAACAAATGACCTCTTACGAGTTTATAGTAACCAGGCACCGGTGGCTCATGCCTGTAATCCTAGCTACTCAGGAGGCAGAGGTCAGGAGGATCACAGTTCAAGCCAGCCTGGGCAAATGGTTCACAAAACCCTATGTCAAAAAACCCTATCACAAAAAATTGGCGGAGTGGCTCAAGGTGAAGGCCCTGAGTTCAAACCCCAGTACCGTGAAAAAAAATGTTTATAGTATAGGATACATAGTATCCCCAAAGGGAGGTACCCCTTACCTTGTCCTTTAGGGGTGTTCTGAGGCTATTTCTACTACTAGTTTTAAAGAGAGACCTTCTAAGCCAGGTGCTGGTGGCTCATGCCTGTAATCCTAGCTGCTCAGGAGGCTAAAATCAGGAGGATCGCAGTTTGAAGCCAGCCAGGGCTGATAGTTCGCAAGACCCTATCTCAAAAAACCTATCACAAAAAAAGGCTGGCGGAGTGGCTCAAGTGGTAGAGCTACCTAGCAAGCATGAAGCCCTGAGTTCAAACCCCAGTACTGAAAAAAAAATCTCTCCTCATTTTCTTTCTTGAACTCAGGGCATACACCAATAGCCATTCCCAGTTTTATTTGGAATAGTGCCCAAACACACTAACTCCCTGAGATTTTCTAAGAGTTTATGGTGTCCCTGGAATACATTTATGATCCATGAGACCTCTGGGAGAACTTGGTTCCCTGGCAAGATATTTATAGGGGGTTCCTAAAGATGGCAGGAGCTTTTCAAGAGGAAGAAAGAACTTCTAGGACTGCTTTTGCAGTGTTATGACTGGAATCCTAATGGCCCCTGTGGTTTCCAGCAGCACAACTCCCAACCTCCACTGATCCATACCCTCAACTTCTTGGTTGGGCTCAAGGGATTCAGCACACTGTTAAGTGTGGCAACCCTGGCTGAGACTTACTCCCTAGAGCTGGCAAAGGGAACCCCCATCTCCAGGAGCCTCTCCCTTGACCCTAGAAGGTGGGACCTCTTCCTACTGCAGTAAAGAGAAGGGAGGAGGGCCGAGGATTCCCCACTGGATGAGGGTTA